TATTTGCTAGAATTACGAGAAGATAATAACATATTTCATATATAATGCATACCGTTGCTTAACTGCATTTTGTTCTTCTTGAGTGATTGGAAATCTAACATATTCTGGTAATAAATTTGTTACAATTAAAGAGCACATTTTGTGTAAAATTCGACTCACGGAAGTTTGGCTTAGGGAAATAGAAAAGTTTACTCCAACACAATTTTGAAATGAGCCAGTTGCCATGAAATTTAACATGGTTAGAATCTAATATTTTTTTTATTAATGATATAATTAAATAATGTAATTATTATAATTTCAGTTATTAGTATAAACTAAAAAAGTTTTCAGAAAGTCATCTACTACTTACTTTAATATGTAAAGGAATTCTTGACTTTGATGGATTGTAATGAGGTTCAATTCGTTGAATTAAGGGGATGCTGGAGCGACGGGCCAACTCCGACGGGATAGCGCCCTCATCTGAACGGAATTAAAAAAATCGATAATGTCGGTAATTATCGACATTTTTAATTCCTGCATTACCATTTCTACATTACCGCAGAGAAAGAATTTCGCGACAATACTTTTTCGGCGATACTCGTACTACGCGCGCGCGAGACGTCGAGGAACTATTGTCCACGCGCCTCGTTATCTGAGGCTCGCCGCGGTGCCGCTCGCTGCCATGACAATTTTTTTGGCATGTCACACACCGCTGCACGTCTCGCTAGCCGATCGATATTCACTGTCGCTAAGAGATCTGAGAAATAAAATGCTTTGGCCTGCCTAATCTGGCCTATCTTCTCAGTTTGACCCAATCAATTTGCATTTTTCGATTGGTTAGTTACTTGTTAGACACCCTTGACTGCGTTCAGAAACACCACCCAAGTACCCCAGCGTATCATTCTATCCTTGTTGCTTACAGACAAGGATAAAATGATACACTAGGGCATTTGGGTGATGTTTCTGAACGCAGCCCTACATGTACACGGAAGTGTAAAACATATTATATAATACAAAATGTAACGTATACTGTATATACACATGTGTACATACACGCGAAACGTAATACGCTGATTATTTTAAATATGGAAAATATAAAATGAGCCTCTCCAAACGCCCATTCTCGTGAGAACGCAACCATTAAAATTTTTCCGTCTCTCCGATTCAAATATACAAATAATTGCAATGACTACCCTAGTAGCACAGTGCATTGGGCAAACATTGGTTAAACATTGGCCCAATACAACCAAATATTGGGCCAATGTTTATCCAATGCACTGTGCTACTACACTGATAAAAATTAATGCGAATTTACAAAGGAATTTTACTTATTTCTTGGTAAATTTGCCTAAATTTTCACGAGTTTTTACATAAAATTTGTATTTTTCCCTTTGGTTTCATTAAACATACAGGAATATTATGAAAAATTAATTGAATCTGGTATTTTTAATCACATAATTTGTAAATTAGCTTCCGGTTCATCCATAACATTTCATACATGTTCTTAATTTTACTTCTATACAGTAAATTTACAGTCCGACATGGAATTTTACTCTTTTGTTAGTGATATCACAGTATTTCAGTAAAGTGGCGTGTGCGCAATAGAGAATTTCATCATCCTAGTATGCTGTGCGCGTCATGCGCAAACTTTGGGGTGCTCACACACGCAAACGCAACCGTGTCCGTGTGCTGCGCAGAGCACTCTGCGCAGCACACGGACACGGTTGCGTTTGTGTGTGTATGTGAGCACCGCGTGTAACACAAGGTGCTCGGCCAGTCGGCCGTATAGTTTGCATCTCACTGCACGGTGCTTGCATTACAGTTTTGGCGGTATCGAATCCAATAGTGATAGAAGGTCGGATGCCACTAAACTAAAAGAAGAAGGTACTTGCAGTGATTCACAAATTAAGTCCATGTCCACAAGCGACACCATAGTAAAGTGTATTTTCTGCTTTCCTAGAATATGTTTCGCTGTAAAATTTGCTCAATTAACCTCAAAAATCTTAGAGCCTATAATATTCACCAATATTTTCATAGAAATAAGAAAAATGCTTCCTTTCCATGTTTGATTGGTACCTGCAGATTAATATTCCAAACATATCGTGCATTGAGGCAGCATATTTTTCGAAATCATAGCAGTAATAAAAGGTTAAGTAGCCAAATATCTGACAGATCTGCAGTATCTATTGAAATGTGAAATTTGTGATTTTACTGGAAAAAATATAAAATCTATAATTAAACACCGTTATAATCATATAATTTCTGGAATAGCAGTTACATGTCCTTTTTCAGAGGTGTGTAAATTAAAAGCACAGTTTAAAAAAAGAAATACGTTAGCTCAGCATTTAACTCGATTTCACAAAAATGAAGAAGATAGTTTTAAAGATATTAATGATTCTACAAGCACAGTTAATGATGAAGTCAACGAATATTTAGGAGAAATCCTTTGTCCCCGGGAAACTAATGAAAATGAAATTTCTGATGAAACTTTAGATTCTTTAGGTATAAAGTTATTAGGCTCTTTATATTTATCGTTGGAAACACAGTATCACTTACCTAATCAATCTTTATAAATTATAATTGACCAAATGAAAGATTTCCATAAAATAAACGTACAATATTTGTCAAAACAATTAACTTTTAATAACTTAAATATTGATAAATCAGTTTTGGAAAATGACTTATTTCAGAAAGCACATAATGGGTACTTTAGATCAAGATTTACAAGAGAAAAATATTATATGAATAATTTCAATTATGTTAAACCCAAGTGTATTGTTTTAAATAATAACACAAAATATTATTACATCTCAATAGAAGAGACACTGGTTAATCTTTTTAAAAATTCTAATTTCTCCACTCAATACTTTAATGTAAAAGAAACTTCCCTAGATAATACATTTGCTGACATAACAGATGGAAACTCATTTAAAAATAACATTTTCTTTAAACAAAATCCCAATGCCTTACAACTTATATTATATCAGGATGCTTACGAAATTTGTAACCCTCTAGGTTCATCTAGGATAAAACATAAAATTGTTGGGGTTTACTTAACTGTAGCAAATATTCCTGCTTGGCAACGTGTTAAAATAGATCAAATTAATCTAGTTGCCCTAATGTATGAAAAACATTTAAAGAGACTCGGGGCGTCTGAGCTTTTCAATATTATCATTAAAGATTTGAAGAAAATTGAACAAATAGGTATTGAAATTAGTTATAGAGATAAGAAAATAATTCTGAAAGGAACATTAATTGCTTTAGTAGGAGATAATCTAGGCAGTCACTTTATTGGTGGATTCAATGAAAATTTTAACATGTCAGGTTACTTTTGTCGTTTTTGTCATATTAATAAGATAAAAGAAAATTCACAACTTATAACGTCAAAATTTGAAACAAGAACAATAGAAACTTACAAAAAAGATATAAATAATGTAGTGAATAACAATGAAGCTAGTAGAGGAATTAAATTCAATTCTGTTTTTAATAATTTAAACTTTTTTCATGTTTCCCAACCTGGTTTCCCACCTTGTATTTCACATGACCTATTTGAAGGGATCGTTTAATATGATGTCATGTTGATAATAAATGAATTAGTTGCTAAAAAATTATTTACTTACGAATATATCAATGAAAAACTCAGCAATATTAATTTCCGAAATGAAGACAAAATCTACCTTCCACCAATAAAAAAGTCTGAAAAGTTACATGGCACGCATAGTCAAAATATGAAAATTTTAAATATATTACCTTTTGTTTTAATTAGATTAAACGAGTTAAATGACTTTGAAGAGTGGAAATTACTTCTTCTTTTACGAAAAATAGTTAACATTTTATTAGCTTTCAAAATATCGATTGGTCAAATTGCATTATTACACTATTTAATAAAAGAATACTTAGAAGTTCGTCAAATATTATTTCCATCTACGAAATTAAAGCCCAAGCACCATTACTTGATGCATTATCCTAATTTATTGAGAGAATTTGGTCCATTACGACAATTGTGGACCTTAGCATTTGAGCACAAACATCAATATTTTAAAAATGTTATTCATACGACTAATTATAAAAATGTCCTTTTTTCTCTCTCTCGAAAACATCAGCTTTTACAAGCTTATAACTCTTCTTTGGATTTTTTATACTATGATATGGTTATATCAGAAAATGCTAAGCTACTCGATCAAAATATAGTATTTTAAGATATAAATAAAATTTATAAGATTTATGAAAACCAATTTTATTTTTCTACTTCGGCAAGCTTTAGAGGAATAACTTATAAAAAAAATAGTTTTGTGTCGTACGGAACAGACAGTTTTGGCTATTACAATCTATGTGAAATTGAATATCTCATTATCGATCTAGAATTTAAGAACTTATACTTTTTTGGTATCAAAACAAGTACTTGTTATAATTCGAATAATGGTTTATTTGAAAAGTTATCAATAGAAGATAATACGAAAATATTTATTAGTTACAAAGACCTTACTTCTCCTGAAACGGTTTTAATGCATGAAATTGATGGCAGTCCTGTATTTTATTTCAAATCTTCCCCTTTCGAAGAGTTTTAAAGTTATCTGTAATATTTTCACTCACATAGTTGTAGATTTATTTTTATTTTAAATAAAACTTTAATTAAACTTGATCAATATTCCTTTAAAAGTTTGAGGTATCCAAGAAATGAATTCAGAAATTTTAAGGAGTGATAGTTAACGTTACAACAACAAAAATAGTGTTATATAACTTATGCTCTAAAAGTATTTCTAAAGAAAGTACACCGTCTCAATGTGGTACTAAAATAATTTGTTTTATAAATCAGTTTTAACATAACTTTTTAATAGAATACGATATCTTTAAGAAATTAAGTTGATATTTTTGCCGCAAAATCAATTTTCTTAGAAAGGAATTAAAATTCCTGAGGTTTTCAACTTATTTGTGATGTTTTGTATTTTCATTCAATTACATAACGTCACAGTTACTTGGTTTTTGTTTTTTCAATTTATTTTCAGTTATTCTAGGGCACTATGCATCTTTTTAAAGTGTGGACAAAAGGAGGGGAACAAAAGGCCTTTATAACAATTGCGGAAAATGAAAATATATACAAGAATTTAATATTACAAGGTTTGTTTTTTCATTGGCGATCTTTTCATACTTGATTTTTAAAACAATGATTTTTTTCAGCATCTAAGAAATTAGGCATAAATGGATATAGTCTAGTTTTACAATCTGACGGAACACCAGTAACCGAAGATGAGGTGTTATTATTAATTAAAAAAGAGACATTAATCCTTTTAGAAAAAGACGAAGTTTATGGGTCTCAAACATCTGACTTATGTGCTATCAGCACTATTGAAAACTCCGGCATAATTAATGTATCCGACAATTATTGTATAAACCCAGATTTCAACATAAACATGAACAGCCAGAATAAGGAAAATATGGCAAATATTTCAAATGAAGAACAAAATGAGCCTATTATCCAAGTAATTGGTATCAGTCATGAGGAAGACTTTAATTGGATTGATTATAAAGTTCCCTGGGATAAAGTTCCTCTCGATATGTTGAAAACATGTGAAGAAGGTGTTACAAATAAAAGCGTCATTACTGAGATCTGTCACATAATTGTTAACGATATTAGACAAATTAAAAAAAATGTTCCGACTCAAGTACTCAAAAAGATTGCTTCTGAAATGATACTCAAGTACCCTAAAACATTTATGGACAAAGATGAAGACGGACACATTTTGGGAGATGGTTCTTGTACAATGTTCCATAAACTTCGAGAACGCTGCTGTTATTTAAAACGGATAGAAAGCAAACGGTCTGCAGAAAAGTCGGGAACAATTCAATCTAAAGAACGGAAATTGCATGTAATGGCGGGTTGTTCCAATTATGAAAATTTACCACCTCATACATCTACATCAACAACGAATGAAGATAATTGCGAAGAAACTTATGATGAAGAGTCTTTTCAAAATATGATGGAAAGACATTACATAGAGCAACGCAAATTCTTAGAGAATTTTCAAAATCCACCCTCTTTAAATGATATAAAAGAGAAATTTCCAATTCTTTTTCAACTAAAAAGTATTATCTTTCACTTCAATAAACTCACATCTAAAAAATTAGAAGATTTACCGAGAATTATGGAAGAAAAGTCTATAAAAATAGTGGAATACGCAATTCAGAACAAGTTTTTAAAATTAAATAATAATGAAGACTATTGTATTCAGTCATTGAGATTTTTTACTCTATATTTCAAAGAGGATTTTGGAAAAATATTTTATAAAATTAAGGTAAAACTTTTTAGGTGCATATATTTTGACTCTATACTTATATCTTTAGAATAATAATATCAATATAACTTTATTTCAGGATGATAATATTAATATAGCCGAAAAACTTCAAATAAATGCTCCCTGTATTGTCGCAATTGGTAAAAATCCACTATTTACAATTTTTAACTTACTATGGATCTTATTTCTCATTACATACTGTAAAATTATAATGAAAATTGATGGCGAAAGAGAAACTATCATTTACAGTATCATTTTAAGTGCAAAATTGACTAAAAAGTTTTCAGTTTATCTACTTTACGTTCATGATATCAAAGAAATTTCAACACTAATAATGTTACTGCGGATACAATTGATTGCATAATACATCAACAATATAAAATTTTGCCTTGATACCGTAAATGCAATATACAAAAATTGTACTGTAATTAACTTTCATTTCATTTAACGAACTAAAAAATATTTTAATTTGATTTTTTTCTTGAGAAATTTCCTCAAATGATTAGGATACCGAAAGTAGATATTGCTGTACTAACTTATAAAACACTATAATTTCAGGCAATTGTTTTCAAGTTTTTGTAGAAAAGCAATTCTTCCAAGAATTCACAACTTTCATGCAGGCATGGCAATGTGTCTTCGGTATATATTATGCCATGTGTCTTCAATATCCTAAGGAGCTGTGTAATACGTTGGAGATGGTACAGCGGTACTATTTCAAAATTAACCCTGATCAAGGATCTAAAACAGTGACGAATAAAAACAGAACTGCGGCGAAAGTAATAAAACTAATAATGAAACTAAATAAGTAAATTTCCTGGCCTATTATTTTTTTATAAATTTCGTCAGTCTTTATTTGAAAGAATTTTTCTTTATTTTTTAATAGAAAAACAACTAGTTTTGTTGAGTTTTCCTAATCAGGAGAGTGTAAACTTAATTTATTTATGAGGAAAAAGTTCTTTATTTTTCACTTTAAAAAATTCTAAGTTTATAGTGTCCTGATCAAAGTTCTTTTTACAAAAATACTGACGAAAGTCAATTTGTCAATTGTAATCTCAACTAGTACAATGTTAATGTAATATATGTATTTATTACTTCTGTAAGGAATAGCTGGGGTGGGAAAGGAGACTAATCCCAGGACAACTGTTCCGGTAAAAATTATGTTTCAACGTTATCGACATCTTATACGCCTGTTGCTACAATCACCGGACAACATTAGGAGAAAACACATCGGAGAGCAGCTGGACCATTAATAAACTGAGCTCTACCTTATGTTGGTTCCAAAATTTCACTTCTCTAGACGAAGTTATAACAGCGTGCATTCGAAGATCGCTTTGTTATCCGATTTATAGAAATTGGGAACTTTCCATCAAGGTGTTTGAGGACCTTAAAATCGTCCTGTCGTTAGGAAGGAAATACATCGTTAAACGCTTCTGCGAAATACATAGCCTTTTCAATGAGTCGTATGAAATGAGATACGTACTAAACCGGTTGTACATAATAGACTTTTTAATTTGGCTGCAAACGTTACCTGAATCCGTAATAGAATCGCTTCATTCTGCGTTAAGTGAGATTCATCCGAACAAAGCAAGCATGGGATTTCATTTAATAGAGCTGGAAGTGGCAACTTACTCCGTTCAAGAAGAGGACTTTGTTATAGAAAATACTATTCACAAAATGACCGACAACATTGATCAGATGACCCTGAACGATAGCAATCAGGAGAAATTATCGAGCAGTTCAAGTTCCACGGACAGACTCTGACACGGACTCTGACAGTAATACGTCAAGCAGCAGCAGTTTAGATTCCGACGATCTAGATGACGAGCCCAAATGAATGAAAAAAAGTTGATGGCCCCCGATGATTAATCATCCACTTGTTATGTGATGTGTAATGCAACCCGACAAATTAAACATCGACTTCTGTAATAAGCATATAATTTTTTAATTGTCTACTAACAAGGGGCAGTGTAATATGCTGTTATTTTTTGTATATTTACATATTCATTATTTTATGCGTATGCTTCGCCTTGTACGTGTAAGATCGTGATGTTCAAAGATAATCTTCCTAACTCAGTATGTTAACGAAATTGCGTTAATAAATGCATCTGGATTGTGATAAAAATAATATGAAATTAATATGTTCTCATAAACTCTAAAACGATCTATAATATGTATATTCGTGCAGCCGAGCAACCGTGATTGATATGGACTGACTGACTGGTGATAATATTTACAC